AATTACATCATCCTGCATTGTAATATGGAATTATTCCTTTTTAAATGTTTACTTTCATTAGTACATGTTTGCGGTACATAATGATCACATTGATTGTGGGGCGTTTGGTATATGCGCATAATGCATCTTAATTCATTTTATGTGTCCTTCTCCTCCCTCTCCCTTCCATCTCTTGGACCCTTCCCCATTTGCAAAAGATCTACCTTCCTGTTATTCTTAGTGTTTCTCTTTATGTCTCACTCTCTTCCTATTTAGTCCTGGTTCATCTCAACAGTAAACTGATGTTCACCAGCATCTACATAGACTAAAGCATGTCACGTGTTTTCATCTCTGATGATTAGAGGCAGCATCTTTACTTTTTCCAAAATAAAAAAAAATTGTTTCTGTTATAAAAATGCAAATTAGTCATTGCAGGAAGTTCAAACTAGCAGAAAAATGGGAAGAAAATAATAAATCATACCTGCCATTTCACCACCAGAAGATGACCATTGTTCACATTTTGGCATGTGTCTGTTCAGCACTTCCATGCACTCTAACAATGGCTAGATAAAATTTGATCTAATGGAACTCCTTTAAATGCACTGATGCATTTGGCCACTTTTACAAGTAGAATTGCTATTTTTTAACCCACTTTTCTGATTAAATTGTTTTATTTTAATGTGCCAACAAATAGATCTTTTAAACTGTTTCATAGTGTTCTTTTTATGGCTATATCATAATTCAGTTATGCTTCCTAGTAACCCATCACCTAGATTTTTCCCGTCTTTTTTTCCTCATAAATGTTGCAAAAATAGATTTGTGCAGACATTTTCTATTACTTTTGTGTCATTGGATTTAAGCTTTGGAAATGTATTGTCCAGGTTTAATTCACCTATCCAGAACATGATTTGTATATAGCAGGGGCTTTCTCTCCTTTATCATATGGTCAGTCAGTAATTCCAGTACTGTTTATTGGAAAATGCTTGTTTGCCTCTCCTACTTACAATTGCTGTTATCAAATATTTATTTCCCATACAAATGGTTCTCTTCTACTCCTCTGCCAATGTTGTGCTGTCACCATTACCACAGTAAGTTCCCAGGTGTGGGTTTTAGACCTAAAACCTAAAACCTCCAGTTTCTGTAGCCATCGGTAAAGGTTAGACCTCAGCTGTTCTACACAAAGTGTACCTCAGCAACATTGTTCTGCAGGATCAGAGTCCTCTGTCAGCCGGCCCTGATTTCTAGGGTTGTAAGTGCTCTATAAATATTTTGTTTCAAGAACTGGCACTCAATACGGTTAGCTCAAGAAGAAGCTAATTATAAAGCTGTAATAAAGAGTTCAACAGCATAATAGTAGCAGGTCTTTTATTGCTCTAGTTTTAGATATGAGGGGACATAATAAATAATCACCTGTGTCCCAGCTTGAATTGTCAATTAATTGAGAATGTGCCTTTATTTATGGCTCTTTTTTTTTTTTGGTATCAGGGATCGAACTCAGGTCCTTGCACTTGCAAAGCAGGTGCAGGAACCCCTGAAATGAATCCCCAGCCCCTGTGCCTTTATTTATGACAAAGCTGATATTGGAGTAGGTGGCTTGTATCTGCAGGCAGGTTGGCTTGTCAATAGTGCACCTGAAATCTAGGTAGCCACAGTTGCTTTCTGTGGGAAGGACAATTCCTAAGAGGAAGGGAGGTAGGTTTGGCAACTCCAGTTTTTTTTTCTTTCAAGTCTGCCCCACTAAGAAGGGGAAACTGAGGAGAGGTGAGGGCATATTAACATTAACAAATACCCTCCACATGGAAGGAAATAGCCAAGAGGGGAGCACAAGTTCTCCCTAAGCCTTTGTAGGCGGTCCTACCCCACTCTAGTCAGCTGGGCTGATGGAGCATTGGTCACATGGTGTAAGTCAGGATGTGGCAGTGGCAGGCCAAGGTTGCAGATAACTCCATTATACTGCCATTGTTGATTTTATTTCTTGGACCTTTCTCATCCCTCTAGGCTCATTCCCTTTCTTAAATGAGTCCTATTCTTTCCACTCCCTGGTTTTCACACATGCATGACATACCCTTCCCTCTCACCATCACCACCATCTTATTTTTTCTGGCTCACTCATGAAGGGATCTTGCTGGTGAGCTTCCTAACGTACTCTTCTTAAATTATTGACATAGGTTTTCTACCTTTGAATTGATAATTTTATTGTTTCTCACAAACACAAATGTATAGGGAAATGATTTTTAGAAAAACACTTCCATTTATGACTTATAAAATTATAAGTTTGAATTTTCATTTTAACAAGACTAGACAGATCTACTTTTTATACTTTAGTATAGAGCAAAAGCATAGGCTGCAAGAACAATCTGGCCTCAACACATTCGATGAGTTCTCATATGAAGGAGGAAACAGTCATGTTTGTGTGAAATGGCAGTATTGATTGTCTATGTTGATAACTTTATAAATGTTTTCTTTTTTATTATCTCGAACATAATTATTGGGTCTTCTTTAAATGTTCTAAGATTTTCACTTTTTCATAATTTTGGAAAATTGTTATTTAGCAGGTTAGTAAAAATTGTTAGTTTAGGAAGATAAAAAGCACAGTTAATTCTTTTAAAATACTCATTTAATCTGCTATATTTGGTTGAACATATTTGAGTGAAAGTTAAGTCTGGCTGCATAACAATAAATGTTGGGATTTTAATCACAGATTGAATTTTCTGGTTCCCTCATTCAGTAATGGCTCACAAAATTTCGAAGTTAATTCTCCAAGATTTCAAAAGGATAAACACATGTCTGTAATCACTAGCACTTTGGGGAGCTGAGGCATGAAGCTCAGGTTCATCCTGGACAACTTAGTGACTTAGCAAGACGCTGTCTCAAAAAAAAAAAGTCTGAGGATGTAACTCAGTGTGAAGGTTCTGGGTTCAGTTCCTAGGACTAAGAGGAAAAAGAGATAGATTAAGATTTAAAGAGAACATTGGGATAGCTAAAGTACAGAAAATTCATCCAAAATTGTAAATGGTAGAAACTGTCACCCTTAAGCCTGAGGTGAAGAGCTGCACATGGTTTACAGATGAACGTCATTTTGTACATGCCTTTCAGAAGTGCTTAAACTGGTAATTCTAGGAGTTACAAATGAATTTTGCAATTGTGTACAAATTGAGCAAAACAGATTGTCAAATCTAAATAGATCAGATAAAGGGAGCCTTGTATCCTGACATTTGCACATTTTAAGCCTTGTGTGCTAAATTATGTATTTCAAGTAACAATGTTACCATGACCCCGAGGTAATTAAAAACTCTAAAAATACAGGGCCCAGGATTTAGCTCAGTGGCACCTAGCCTGCCTCAACAAGCTCAAGGTCCTGAGTTTGATCTCTGGTACCCAAATAAAAAAATAAAAACAAACAAAAAATTCTAAGTACAGTATTTGGCTTCCCTTTAGTTTGCTTTCTAAGGTAATCACAGTTGTTAAACATTGAGAATTTTAAGAGTTGCTTGATTTTTTCCTTCTAGTAAAATAAAAAAGTAAGAAAGCCCTGATTTTCTTCTGCATTTTTGTTTTCTCCTCATACAAAATGCCTACCACAGCTGAGTGCCAATTTTTAAATTCATTCATCTAGATTGCAGTGTCACATAGGACTTTCTGTGGAGATGGAAATGTCCTGTGCACTCTATTATGGTAGCCACTAGCCACATGGGGCTATTGAGCATTCAGAACGTGGGTGGTGCAACTGAGGAGCAGAATTACATATTAGTTCATTTTAACTACTTTGAACGTTAGCAGCTGCAGGAGACTAGTAGCTACTGAGTTGGACAACACAAAATTTCTTTCCACTTTTAGATTTGGTATGGACCTAAATTTGGAAAAGCTGAGTTTAATTTATATGAATTCATTTTTTTTTCACTTCACATTAGCACGTGTTCGCAGTACATGTTTACATCCCTTGTGTGGAGCTGGTACATGTACACAACACATCTCCATTCCTTCCTTCATCCCCTGTCCCTCCCCTCCCTATGAATTCCTGAATGGGCTCTGTGGGGAAGGTAGGGACCCATTAGATGCTTCGTTTCGCCCACCTAGGCGAATAAGGTTTGGTTACAGGGACTGTGCTGCTTCGACAGGAGCTGACTCCAGGGCCCCCTGCGGGGTGGGGGCAGTGTCTGCCAGGCCAAGGGACGAATGAGGGCCCCTGTGCCTGTGCGTTCTGGCGTGCCAGGCCAGCATGTGCTGGGAGCAAGGGACACCTATCTGAAACGTCCTCAAAGACATTGCGTGGACTGCTAGTGTGCCCCTGCCACTGATGTTGCCTCTCCTTGCTCTACTGTTGTTTCTCTCGACATTTCTTCCTTCAATACATTTGCAGTGGAAAAACCAATGGATTCCTCACAGCTACCCCATACTTTATCTGTTCACCCAATTGACAGACACTTACGGGGTTTTTTGTTTTTTGTTTTTTGTTTTTTTTTGCATATTTCAAGTACTGCGAATAGTGCTGCATTAAACATGGGATTGCAGCTATCGCTTCAAGATTTTTATTCACTTTGACTATATATCCAGAAGTGGTATTGCTGGATTATGTTGCAGTTTTACTTTTTAAATTTTTGGGAAATAGTTGGACATTTTCTACCATAGCTATACCTATTTACATTTCCATTGACAATACATAAGGGTTCCCTTTTGTTCATAAGCTCGTCGACACTTCTTATACTTTGACTTTTCGATAGTAGCCATCCTAACAGGTGTGAAGTGATACCACACTGGGCTTTTCATTTGCATTTCTTTCTCTAAGCGTTTTTCCTCTCTGGGTTGGATATTGGTATGTCGTCTTTGGGTAATGTCTATTCAAGTCCTTGGACTATTTTTCTAATGGAAAAACAAGTTGAAAGAGGAGAAGATATTTAGCATACTATGATAAGGGATTAATATCCAAAATATATAAGGAACTTAGAAAGTCAATAGCAGATAACCTAAATAATCTGATTTAAAATGGGCAAAGGACCTACTTTTTCTTTCTCTTTTTTAAGGTATCATACCTTCTGGAAGGGGGCAGCATGGCTCATGAAGACTTCTGTGGACACTGTGGTAGAATGAACCCAGGAGATCTGCAGGTATGGCCAAGGACAAGGAATTGCTGCTGGTTCAGGGGTCTTTGAGTATCGCTTGATCCTGTCCACTTGCAGCATGGCCACCCTTTCTCTCTCTCTGTTACGTCTCTCAAATCTGCCTTCCTATGTGTCCTTTTAATTGGCCTGGAAGCCTGCACAGGTTTCTGGTACTCCTTTTTCATGCTTTCCTCGAGTCCTCAATCACTTTCTCGCTTCCACTTAATCTTTTTCTTAATATTTCTCAAGAGTAGTCAGGAGTGACGGTCTCCACTTCCTTTTCTCCCATTTTCTTGCTCCACTCAGTTGAGAGTAATTGGTCACTTGGCACCTCTCTTCTATAACTTTGAAGCTGTTCAGGTAACAGCCACACTTGTGATTTCCTAAGTCCCACGTCCAGTGCCTGTTGCAGTCCACATCTTTCTAGACCTTGCTGCTGCAAATGAGACAGTTTACTATTGATCTTGCAGCTCATTTGCAGGGTTATGTGTTGTCACTTAAGACTGTGACCCCAATCCTGCATCATCCTGCCTTGTCTGAGATAAGTATAACGAATTGTAGTTAAATCTCCAGGAAATGCCTGGACCATCTTTGTCAGTTTTGTAAGCCTGAACTCTGTATCACATACTTTCTGGAATCATTTATATATTTTATGGGATGATAAATGCAAATATTTGAATCATGGCATTTCAGTGATCATGAAATTCAAAGATAGAAAAGCAAAAGGACAAACAGTCACGGCGAAAAGTCAACAGTAACTTCTTGCTGGAGCAGAGCATAAAATGAAGTCTTCCTGGAGAGGTAGCTGTGTCTTGATCACAGAAGCGTGACTCTTGCATCTGCACCATCAGGCTGAGCCTGCAGTTGTACATTTGAGGGGCTGGCCGATATTTCTCCTAGCACTATATCCGCATATGTGGTTAGATCACGATTGCACAGTTTCAGTTTATTCAGCATTTTCATATACATGATTTCTTTGAGATAATTATTATTTTTATCTCGGTTTTTAAATGAGGGAATATGAATTTAAAGATATTAAAAAATAAAAAGATGCCCATGACCTCAGAGCATGTGAATTTTAAGGATGGAAAGGGAACTCTGGTCTCCCCACTCTCCCACCATGCCAGTGGGTTGGCCATTTTTTAAGAGGCATTGCCAAAATAAGATATATATATATATGTTAAGTAACATACTGGAAGGACAGAGAGAGAACTGCTGATGGAACAGGAACGTGCATAAAAATGCGAGAATGTCTTTGAGGATTGCCAATAGCTATAGTCAGACAGAAGAGATTCAGATCTGTACATTAGAAAGTTTAGTCAGCCTTACCAAATGGAAGATGCAGAGAAATCTATTTAGAATTAATGAGAGCAAAAACACCTAAAAGATTGTCCTGGCATTCTTTCACGTCTTTGAGCAAATAATGCTCATTCTTGTCGCGGAGTCTTTTTCACACGTGGTTGCTTCCTTAATGTGGAAAATGTCTTGCTCTTCCACTAGGCAGGTCTTACTCTGTCTAGATCCCAGCCTGAAGTTTGTACCCCGCAGCCAAGGCAAGCTGCTTTGAACTGGACAGGCCATTTCATGTGCTGTCATCCTTCACAATGCCAAGCACAACTGTAATGTCAATTATTATTTTGTGCAATTGATTCTTCAAGGGCTTTTCTCCCCATGATTGTGAGGTGGAAGATGATATCGATGACCTGCTTCACAGCACATCGTCCAACCTCGGAGTTCAGGTGGTGACAGTTTCCGTGTGTGTAACATAGCACTCCATCTCTAGTGCTTCTGGTCTCCCTAAGGGTTTTCTCCAGCCCATGTACTAGGTAACCCAGAAGTGCCAGGGAGTTAGCATCCCCGCGAGGACTCCCCAGTCATCAAGGGATGGGAATTGGTAGCCCCCTCCATGCAATATTTCTACCACGTGTCTACATGGCTGTCAGTGGGACTGAGCGCCAGGTGTCCTTAGATGTGACCTGCTCATTAACATCCCACTGTAGCTTTTCCCCTTGTCTGTTTCATTCTTCCCTACTCCCTCATGTATGTTTCTGCATCACTTTCCAAATGAAATATCCACAGATAGGTCCTTGTCTCAGGATCTTCTGTGGCAGAACACAAGCTAAAACCAGCCAGAAATGCACCTGTCGCGTTCCATCCCTTTGTCCCTGGGTGCTGGGGTTAATGTTTGGAGCTGGCTGTCCCCTAATGTCTCTTTAAAGAAATAAATGCTTGAAGAATCTGCTCAGTTGTGGAGGCAATAACTACCTAGGTAGTGAAGGCTCCACTACTGCAACTGAGCTTCCAGAGGCACAAGTTAACCATCAAGAGTGAGGCGGACACTGGGGACTTTGACATGTATATTTAAACCCACACATGTGTCCTCCAGGTGTTGGGCATACTGGCTGTTGGTGGCCCACTGCTGCATCCCTTCCAGAGAACTTCCTACTTAGGGAGGAAGTTGCTCTTTTTAAGGTAGTGCCTCCTACTCAAGGACGACCCACAGTCAGTGGTTTGCTGAGGTGAGGATAGAAAAACTTGGCCACCTTGCCTCAACTTGAGATGATCTTAAAGGATTATCACGATTCCAGAGCTCCCTGTTGGATTGGCTTAGGCCTGTGTTATAACTGCATTGCTAGTTGGCTTCTCCTCTTGCCCAAGTCTGCTTTCTTTACTTCTTAAATTGTATCTCCCCAGAACACACCCCAATATATTATATGCCTGCAACCTCCCATCTCAGAGCTCAGTATAAGGCTCAGGGATATCACAGAGAGGATTCTTCCATTTGATGTTGTAACCATCTCGCTTGCAGACTTCTTAGGGGCTGGTTATATTTTCCTTTTTGTTTTTTGGTACCGGCGATTGAACATTTTCCTTCTTGTTGGTTTGCTGTTTGCAGTGGATGACTGCAGGCCGGGGCATTCTGCATGCAGAGATGCCTTGCTCAGAGGAGCCGGCCCATGGTCTACAGCTGTGGGTTAATTTGAGAAGTTCAGAGAAGATGGTGGAGCCTCGGTACCAGGAACTGAAAAGTGAAGAAATCCCCAAACCCAGTAAGGATGGTGTGACAGTTGCTGTCATCTCTGGAGAAGCTTTGGGAATAAAGGTAAGCTGCACTGTTGTGTGGTTGGGAGGCAGGCGGCCCTATCTGGGACAACTGTTACTAGGTTTCTCATAGTTTTTGTCTCAAGGGAAGGACTTGCCTCATAGGTATCAGAATAAGTTCAAGCTAAGGGAACCCAGAATTTTTTTTTTTTTGCTGCATCCAAACTCAAAGAGTTAGGAAGATTACAAGAAAACATGCTTATATAAGGAATTTGGTTGAAAAGCAATTTTCATGCTATTTCTTAATATATGTGCAGATTTACCCTAATACTTTTCACTTATAGTACAATGTTATGATTTGCATTATAGCTCCTTGGTTTTGCAAAATCACCTCCTTTAAGAAACAAACAAAAATACCAAGACCAACTCCATTCAATTAAGATTTATGTAAATTATTTTATGCCCCATTTAGAAAGGAAAGTGCACTACTACATTATAGAAAAGTTATTTTTAAGAGTTAACTTGACCATTTATTCCATACATAACATGTGTATATATTCTTCTCAACAGAAACTTATACTATTTACGTTTAAGCTCTGACATTTTTGATCACATAACATCAGTTTAGGCTAAAAAGTATGGACACATTTGTGGAAGGAAAGGAACTTGGCAAACATTGTATTATTTACACACCAGAACTGTTTGCTGTGGAAACTAAGATTCCTTACACCAGCCAGTTTGAATGACTGGCAACCTGGGTAGTGAGCTTTTAGGTAGAATTTCCAAGATGCAAGCCCTGGTGTTCCTGAGAGAGAGAGAGAGAGAGAGAGAGAGAGAGAGAAAAATGAAGTGCTCCCAGGGGAACACTAAAAGGAACTAGGGAAGGAAGCCAAGCAACGGTACTATCTCAGGCAAAGTGTTGAAGAGGATGGCTTCAATCTGATCCTACTGGAGACAGTGCAGGATCAATAGTCCTCAGAGTTGTCCTGACCCACCTCAGGCAAGGGACCCAGGTTTTCATTCTCCCTTGCTCAACGGAAATTGTTATGGCCATTGACTTTGGGATGGGGGGCACAGAAATGGTTAAAAGAGATCTGTAGGGATCTCTGAGGGGTCTGGACACATGGCACCTGGCAATGAGAGCATCTAGATATTGGGATCTACTTTGCCATTCTCCCAGCGGGCAACCAGCACTTAGGTAAGTGTTAAATTTTTATGTACAGCCATGAGAATAATGGCTTGGCAGTGGCCACTAACTAACCACTCAATGTGATTCATTACATGGTTAACAGATTGGTTGTGGTTATTGATTGGGACTTACTGGGTTTTCTCTATCCTGCATTGAAGCCACAGGTTCTTTGTCTATACCACACATGGGTATATGTTTTACTTTCTTTGTATTTCCAGTGTACACAGAAATAATCGAAGAAAAATGCATAGAGAAGTTTGCTCTGTAGCAGGCATATCTGGCTACAGTCTTCCCCCTCCCCTGAAGGTATTGCTTTACTTTGCAGTTGGAAGTGGCCCTTCTTTGTGTTTCTGTGACCTCTTTCTGTTTCTCCAAGCATTGAGCGGTGCTTTTTTCAGCTGTTTGTGAAGGTTACCTCCCCTTCAGTCTGCAGAAACAGATAAGATTTTGTGAGGTCTTCTGGTCCTGGTTCGAGGCCAAAGGACATCATTGGGTATAGTATCAGGTAGAGAGGTCTAAGGAAGCTAAATTAATGCAGATGGGAAGCCCTTCCCTATCCCAGGGGCACTAGGGCTCTAGTGCTCTTCGGCACCTACTGAAGTGGGTGGTGGAAGGCAGAAGTTTCTCCCCTCCAGTTCAACCAAAGCACACCACTTTGTTTGTGTATATTGGAATTGTACGTAAGATTTCTTTTAGAAAATGAGTTGATCGGTGTGTAACTAAAAATAGAAACCATGCCAGTGATTTAGTCGATAAGTAAAGCCAGGAATATCATGAATCCTTAGAGTTTACAACTGCTTTTCATTTATAGAAAACACAAGGCAATTTGAAGGTTGAAGCTGGTTCCAGCTATAGGCATTTTAAAGCTCTGCCAAGCAGCAGGCCATGTGGTGTTGCAACTGCAACGAAGGATTAGAGACCAGAGGTAATATTTTAATGTTGTAAAATAGTGTCTTGGTAGCTGCTGGCCTCTGCTATTTCTTTTGGTTGAGTAAAATCTCTAAAGTGAATTATAGTGTCCTAAGTAAATAATCAGTCTTTATTTTGAGAACATTTTAATGTTCTCAATGAGAGCCTCTTGGATATGGAATTGTCACTAGTCATTTGCAGTAAGCAATGTCAGTGCTTTCCCCTTTTTGCACCCATCTGTTTATTGGGAAATACGCATAACTTAAAATGTGCCATCTTAACAAGAAGAGTCTCTTGGAAACTTCTGCAGCATTAATCTGTATTTCCAGAAGCAGTGTGGGTCAAGTGGTTACTTGTGTGGACTTTGGTGACAGACTGGGTTAAAGTCCTCACCATGAATTAGCTGTGTGATGTTAAACAAACTGTTTATATTCACTGTACCTCAGCTTCCTCATCCACCAGATAAGGTTTCTATGAGGATTAAATAGCTTCTTATTCATTCACCTCTCAGAGTAGCACTAGACACATGGTAAACCCCACGTAAGTGGTAGTTGTCCTCATTTTTACTTTAATTACTTTGTGTTAACTCGGGCAGCTGCTGGGCTGAGAATGTTTGCCATCTGTGCTAAAAGGATTTGGTGAAAGTTGAGAAATCAATTAACATGCTCTGAGGAAAGGACACCCGTGTAATCATTGGAAAGATGAGAACTGTGGTCATTTCTTGTAAGTCTGATAAGAGGCATAATTTTGTACATCTGAAACCTTAGTATCTGCTCACCAAGAGGTGACTAGGTCTCATAAGGTCTAGATCTACCAGAAAAATGCATAAAGATTGTTTTACATCAGCAAGGTATCTTTTTGTTTTCTTTGAGATGGGGTCTTTGTGTAGCCCAGTCTGACTTCAAACTCATGATTCTCTTTCTTCAGCTGCCCAAGTTCTGGATTTCAGTCATGTGCTACCATGCATGATCCGTCAGGAAAATCATTTTAAGTTAAATTATAAGATGATGCTGAGATGTACTTTCCAAGAGACTGATGTATTTGTAGCCAGTATAGAATCAACAACTCCCGTGCCTGCAATTAAAATATCTTCAAAATTGAATTAGTGAGCATTGCAGCATTTCTCAGACATTCATATTCATATGGGTTGCCTGGGGGTTTTGATAACATGCAGATTCTTATATAGCAGGCCTGTGGCCAGCTCCAAGATTCTGCATTTCTTACAGGCTCCTGGGTGGTGCCAATGCTGTGGGAAGGGAACCTTAATCCAAGACAGAGGAGTTTACCCATCTTGAGGAAGTTTGATTAGGCTCCTATGGAAAATGTTAAACAGTCCTGTTCTGCGACTTGGGCAAAAAAATATATTTAATCGTTCTAGACTCCAGTGTCTACATCCACAGAAAAGGTGGAGAGGTTTTGGGCAAGATGCTGTAGCTTTTACAAACAACAAAACTGTCTTTGTGGTATTTCCAAAGATAGATGTATCCATGTTTCCCACGTTGTGTGTGTCTAAGTGTTTATTTAGACATTGGAAAGCCACAGCCAATTTTGAGCAAGATTCTGCCAGGACAGTGCAGTCTAAAGTGAAGGCTTTGAGGGGGAGAAATGATAAAAGTGGGATAGTTTGAATAGTTTCTGTCACTTCTGGAAGGTCACAATCTCATGTTTATTTCATGAGAGTGTGCAATTCTCCAAACCCCATTCCATCCTTATCAGTGAGCCAATCAGCTTTATTTATTGCCAGATCTCTTTGGAACACAATTCCTTTCCCAAAGAATGCCTCTACTGGCCTCCTGCTGCTCTAAATTCCACTGTGTCAGGAGCAAACCTTGAAGAGGCCTCAGCCCCACTGGGGTCAGAGCATGGCAATCCAGAGCCAGATGGTCTGGGTTCAAGGCCAGCTTCACCACTGGCTCACTTTGGGAAATGCACTTAAGCTTGCTGGACCTTGGTTATATAATCTATGAAATGGAGATAACTATAGTGACCTAGCTCAGGGAGTCTTTGAGAGGATTAAATTGACTGATACGTATATGTAAATTAGAACAGTGCTTGGCTCAGAGTATGCCCCATACAAGCGGATGCTAGTTTTACATCATTTCCAAAGCTTTGGGCAGCGTTCCTGTAGCCTATAGACATAAAAGGAAGAAGCTTCCTTCTGATGGGCAGGCTGTCTGCTCATGTATTGGACGACAGCATTTTTAAAACCTCAGTTTCCAAGGGAGTCTGCTAAACATCTCATGTAATTTGCCCAGGTTATTTTTGTGTTCCTATGTCATTTTCTACTCAAGATGAAACTTGATTTCTTAGATTCTATCTGGCATTGCTGAAGTTGAGCTCCTCCGCCTTGCCTCCCTGAGCCTGCTTCTGTTCCCTCAGGGGTGAACAGAGCTACCCATCCACAGGAGACTGCTCTTTCCTTTCCAGACCCACAGGAACAATTTTGTAAAGGAGCATTTAAACATGAGTGCATCTTAAAGTCAGGTAGTATATGCTCATCATTTTTTTTTTTTGCTTTTCAATTATTCCAACAAGTTCATGGGGTTAGTTTGAAAAATGTGACAGATATTCTCCTAATGGCAGAGGTTGAGTGGTACCTTGGGTTTCTGACAAAGAGAACTTGAGAGAATGGGTTCCAGCTGTCACAGAGAGCAAGCAAAGGGAAAACAATGATTGTTCGGCAAAGAATCCTCCTTTCTAAAAGCACTTTCTGTTAATTTATTTTATTTATGAATCAGAGTACTCGGTGACAGATCAGGAAACCTCCGGATGTGGATCTGTGCTGTGGATACTTAACAAACACTCACTTTGGGGTGTGCCTGGCAGGGAGAAGGATGAACTTGAAGCGGTTCTCTGTATGTCTTATTGGTCTTAATTTAAAAAGCTGAAAAATGTTTACATATTTAAATCAGCGATCGAAAAAGTCTTAAAATCAAAAACAGGCGGGAACACACAAAGATTCT